TATTTAGATTTGATGGTTTTGGCCATTGATCATTTTTTTTTTTTGTAATTGTTGTTACAAAGTTTAGATTATATCCTCAATTTTCTCCTATTTTAATGTATTTGACCTGTAAAAGCTAAAAACACTTATAGCGGGAATGTTCCACATATTACCCTCCGTCCAAATGTATTTTAGTATAATTCTAATTAGTGTTGCTTTCTATATTTCAGTTATAATATTTTATCTATAAAAAGTTATAGCTTTGTTGGAATGTTAACTAAGAATATAAAATTAACATCTAACATAATAGTTTAAAATTTTTCTTTGAAATATATACTTTTTTCTTCCCTTGGTCTCTTATAAAGATATCAGAGTTTGATTTTGATTTTGGCATTTGATCAAGTCTAAGAGCCTTTGCCAATTTATAGAATCATTTAGCTCATTTATGTTTAGTTATATAACATAAAATGCTATAGTCTTGCAATATGTTTTTACATGCTTGTGTCATGATTATGTCTTTCATAAGCCATCTTTCAGTATATGGACGTTTTGTATGCTTATTTTGTCTAGTGTAAACTTTCCATTCTATTTTTAACTCTAGTTAGTTGTTACCAGCCATTCTATGGATGTATTTTCTAAGTATTATTGTCTAGAAAAATTTAGTAGCTCTTGATTCCTCTTTGTATAAGATCAGGCAATTTCCATGCCTTTAGTTCCATCATCATCTCTATCTCATCTTATTTTTCTGACTTTAAAGCATAATTTCAGCAATACTATATTAACAGCTAATTTTTGTCATGTATTTTTTAATAATCAGTTTTGACATTTGCATTCCATTTTGTAACAATATATACAACAATCTTTTACAATTCTGTTTTAAATATATTTTACCAGTAAACCAAATTTGCTCATATTTTAGTTAATGAAAGTTTAAAATTATATTTAAGGAAGCTAATTTTTGTTTCTGAGTAATTTAAAAAATTATCAATAAACTGTTATGTATGCAAAGAGTCAAAAAATATTTCAATTGCCTTCACAAATTATTGGCAATTTAGATGTATGTAGAATTCTTGGAACAAATGTATCCTGCCAAAATTCTTCTGTTATTCCTCTTATATTTTCTAGAGAAGCTTCAGGCTAGCCTCATTTTAGACTTGTATTTCTTACAGCGTTGTTTTAAGTCATTTTTATTCTCTATTTAATATCTTAAACTCAAATATTCACTGAGTACAGGTCTAGGAGTTGGCCACATTAACTTGGTAAATGCTTTTGATCTGCATCCTAGGTTCATTTCCCAGCTCAGTACAGGTTGTTTTTATTTGTTTGTTTGCTTCTTTTGTATGCTTGCATTTTGTTTACAACTTTGATTTGTAAATACTATTTATCACTTGACCCCTGTTGTATTTTTCTCAATATCAACAAGCATTCTTATTAAACAAACAAAAATCGGTATACCTTTCTCTGTTTAGCTTAGACCTTCCTAGTTTTACTTCCATATCACTTATTCTGTGTGCATGTGTGTGTGTGTGTGTGTATGTATGTGTGTGTGTGTGATTTTCAGTTCTAATACTATGGCTTCTTAGATTAAAAGCTGGCCATTGCAATTGTAGTTATCTTTTAACTATTTCTTTTTAAAATATGAGACACAATTAACATACCATGCAACTCATCCATTTAAAGTGTATGATTCGGTGGGTTTTTGTTTTTTTTTTTTTATAGCATATTCACAGGCACATACAGCTATCATCACAGTCAATTTTGGAACATTTTCATGGCATCAAAAAGAAACTTTGTATTTTAGTTATACTCCCCTCCCCTACAACTCTACCCACCACCCCACCAGCCCTAAGCCACCACTAATCTAACTGTTATTACAAACTGCCTAGCTGTTTTCCAAGTGGCTTCACCACTACATTTCCACCAGCAGTGTGTGAGTTCCAGTTTCTCCTTATTCTCAGCAATTCTTGTTATTATCATCTGTCTTTTTTATTATAGCTATTATAGTAGGTGTAAAATGATTTCTCATTGTTGTTTTGATTTTCATTTCTCTGATGACTAGTGCTGTTGAACCTCTTTGCATAAGTTTATTAAACATTTTTATATCTTTTTAGAGAAATGTTTAAGTCATTTGCTCATTTAAAATTTGGGTTATCTTTTTTTGTTGAATTTTAAAAGGCTTTTTAATACTGAATACTAGACCCTTGTCAGATATATAATTTTCAAACATGTTCTCTCATTTTGTAGGATTTTTTTTCACTTTTTGGATAGTGTCCTTCAAAGCACAAACATTTCTAGAATTTTTGTGAAGTTTAATATTTTTGTTCTTTTTGTAGTTTATGCTTTTTGTGTCATGTCTAACAAACTATTGCCAAATCAAAGTTTATAAAGATTTACTCCTATATTTTTTTCTAAGCATTTTTCAGTTTTAGCTTTTACATTTAGGTCTTTGACTTCCTTTGAGTTGATTTTTGCATATGGTATGAGGTATAGGTCCCACTTTATTCTTCTGCATGTGGATACCCAGTTATTGCTATGTCATTTGTTTAAGAGACTATATTATTTCTCCATTGAATGGTTTTGGCACCCTCACTGAAAATTAATTGACCATAACTGAATGAGTTTATTTCTGGATTTTTAATTCTTTTCCATTGGTCTATATGTCTATGCTATTGCCATGACTATCTATGTTGATTACTGTAGTCTTATAGTATGTTTTGAAACCAGGAAATTTGAAAATTCCATCTTTGTCTTTCTTTTAAAGACTGTAAGATTCCTTTGGCTATTTTGAGTCTGTTGCAATTTTAGAGTCAATTTTCCATTTTTACCAAAAAATGGACTTTGTGATTTTGATAGGTATTACACAAAATCTGAAAATTGGGGTCGTATTTCATCTTAATATAAGTCTTCCAATCCATGAACATGGGATGTCTTTCCACTTATTTAGGTCTTCTTTAATTTCTTTCAGTAATGTTTTGTAGTTTTCAGTATGCGAGTCTTATTCCTCCTTGGGTATATTTATTTCTAAGTATTTTATTCATTATTTTTCTGAGACAAAATCTCACCCTGTCACCCAGGCTTGGGTGCAGTGGCGTGATCTCGGCTCACTGCCACCTCTGCCGCCCAGGTTCAATCAATTCTTCTGTCTCATTCTCCTGAGGATCTGGAATTGTAGGTGCCCCCCACCATGCCCAGCTAATTTTTGTATTTTTAGTAGAGACTAGGTTTCACCATGTTGGCCAGCCTGGTCCCAAACTCCTGACCTCAAGTGATCCACCCACCTTGGCCTCCCAAAGTTCTGGGATTTCAGGTGTGTACCACCACACTTGGCTGACTTCCTATTTTCTACCACATTAAGTTTAAAATCCCTTGCTTGACTTTTAAAACTGAGTTCCTTGTCCCTCAAAAAAAAAAAAAAATTAAAAATTCAAAGGAAGGTTGGGAATGGGGCTGACTGTTCCTCTCACTGGCAAAGACCTCATGTCTCTGATATAAGGCCAAAGTGTTTATCAGTGCTTCCCGTGCACTAAATATGTTTCTAAGTGCTTCACAGGTAGGGAATAGAGCCCCACAGCACTATATTATTACATTTTACAGATCATGAAATGGAGACACAAAAATGTTAAACAACTCTCCAAGGTCACACAGCTTCTCAGAGGTGAAGTCAGCATTAAACCCTTAGCCCAACTCTGGGTCCCTGGATCACGTAACCTCTCCAGCAATCTAACCTAGTTTAAGTATCCTTTTTCTGCTTCTGTGCCTCAAGGCAAATATTCACTCTGAACGTAAATTTCCCTTAGAGTCTGGCAGGCTATGGACAACATTCTTAGTTTCTTTTGCAGTTGGAATTTTGTATCACATTAGGTGTTTTTGTAAGTATTTAAAGGAGGAATGTGAATTCAATAACTATCATCTTAATTCAGAAGTCCTCATGGAATTCTTTGAATATAAATTTGGTCTTAATGACCCATGCTTATTTTACAGATGAGAAAAATCAAAGTTCTATGTCTCCAAGATACAGAACTAGTTAGCAAAGCTGGGATGAGAACTTGAGCTCACCCTTACTTGGCTTGTTCCCTATTGTGCCTTGCCAGGTAAACTCTCTAAAGAAGCTACTCTTCCTTACCTCTTTCCAAAGTACATCTTCAAAAGCCTCGGGCAAACTTTGATTTGAATTTTTTAACCTGCTTGATTTCTACTTACATAGGAAAATAGAATGCACCCCCTTACCTGAGAATTTCTCAAATTAGGCTGGTGACAAATGCCTTTTAAAACTCCTTTATTTGGCATCCTATTAATATTTTTTTAAACTCCCATTGTGTTGTTCCTGACAGATCTGTTATGTTTCAGATGTGACGCAAATGTACACTTAGAGGAAAACTTCTTTAATAAGTGATATTTGCCTCGGACTACTGAGGTTATTTTAGAAAACAAAAGCCAAAGGACACTTACCAGGACATTCACCTTGTCATAAATTTATCTGGCATATTTAATTGATTGAGAATTCTGGGTTAGACAGTTATCAACGTGTGCGATGAATCGTTGAGCGTGTGGCATTAATGAAAGGTTTTGCCATTGTCATGGGGAGGAAGCTTCCTGGCACATGGGTGACAGGGCCTCACAGACAGTGCTGCTTGTTAGCAGGTGAGGCATTTAGCAGCATTTTCTTACATGTGTCCAGAGTCTCATAGTAGACATGTAGACTTGAGGATGGGGAGACAATATTTGTATCCCAACTAACACCAATTATGGTAAATGCTCATTATTCAGATTTGAGTCCTTTAATAAAAATCCCCTCAACTAGTTTTTTAAAGTCAGGCTCTCATGGTAGAGCCAAGCAAGAGAGAAAATAATGGAATAATTGGAGGCTGCTGTCTTTTCACTTCCCACATAAAATTATTTGAAGAGACAGGCCAGAACTTTAAACAGGAGATACCAAGAAAAGTTGTGATTTGGATGTCGGCTGTCATGACTTTAGGGTGTTTGCTTAAAAGACGTTTTCCCCACTGTTTCTCTGTCTGCAGACATACTTCAATGACAATATCCTCACCCTGATACGGACCCTGGTGACCGGAGGAGCCACGCCGGAGCTAGAGGCTCTGATTGCTGAGGAGAATGCCCTTCGAGGTGGCTACAGCACCCCGCAGACACTGGCCAATAGGGACCGCTGCCGTGTGGCCCAGTTAGCTCTGCTCGATGGGCCATTTGCGGATTTAGGGGTGAGTCCACAGCACCAAGGTCACCTGAGCTGGTTTGGGAAAAGCTTGATCACAAAGAAAGTGGTGTCAGATGTGACAAGCTAGGCATCTGTCTTTTCTCCTTCCTGTTTTAGATAACTGTAAGAGGTAATATTTATGGTTTACTCTTTGCTCTATGTGTAGTCATTCATTTTAATCTTCATGGCAACTCTTTGATATGAAGTTCTAGTATCACAACTTCTAAGTCAACTGAGACCCAGAGAGAATGAGGACTGGACCTATCGGGAAATTGCAGGAAGGCATCTTGGCTTCAGAGCCTGTGGGCTTTCTCACTCCTTGGCGTTTTCTTCACATATCCTCTGCACAAGGTGATGCCAGCATGCAGCCAAGGTTGGGAACTATTTCCACAGGCTCTTAGCATAGCTTAGGGCTACTCAACTATACATTAATAACACATGGAAGTGGTCAGCCTCAGCCTGCAGGTTTCTTAGTTTTTATATGTGAGTATGACCCAGGCACTGGTGGTTTTCAAAGCACCAGGGTAGTCAGTAATCAGGCGTATCCAGAACCACCAGTCAAATAGAATCTCATGTGGATACTTTAATGCCTTTAATTCAAAACCTAGACCTTATAATTTCTGAGACTGGAAATTATAAGTCATGTTCCCTCAGGCCCTCCCTGTGACAGAAGTGACCAGCATCTCCCTTCTGATTCCATGCACCTGCCTGGTGTAGGCACTGTGACAGAAGTGTGCAGTCTTTGCCCTTACTCCCAGCCCAACCCCACAGCCATAAGTCACAGAAACCAATAAATCTGTTGTTGCACAAGCAATAGTGTTGCCCAGAAAGACTAAATAGTGGAAAAGGAGCCAAGGAAAGGGTCTGTCTCTTTTTTTTTCTGAAACGCTGATGCATACTTGCTCCATTTTTTAGTTCGATCATGGGCTGCAACCTATGTTAGACTAGGCTTTTTTTGAAAGGGAATTTTCATAGCTCATGGTTCTTTATACCTATCATTTGCTTGTTGATCCACTTGATTAGGATAAAGACTTTAGATAATGGTAAGATTTGGCCCCATCTGTGTTCTCTAATTTGAGGCCCATGTGAGAATTTCAACAATTGGAAGGACAAAGACAGTCATTCTATTCCCAGTGAAGCCATCCTGCAGTGCCCAGTGCCCTTCATATAATACAGGTAACATCTACCTGAAGCCACCTGGCGGCTGAAGCCAGCATTTCCAAGTTGATGCATTTGCTTTCACTTTATGCATCAGGCCCCAGTCCCTGGGAAGGTGGCTGTGAACTGATTAGAACTGCGAATCCCAGTTATTCAGCCTGCAGACCCCTGGCTCCTAGGGAAACACATTCTCTTCCACCCTTGCCATCTCTGAGGTCTGTAAATTATGCTTTTCACACGGTCCTTACCTGAAAGAGTCTGTCACCATAGGACCTGGTGGGGTCCTCCTCCTTGCAGTGGTTTTCATTATCACTCAGGCAGTTTTGACAACACGATCCTATCACAGCAGTTACAGCTAAGCAGGGGCTGAACATAATCACCATTTTGCAGAAAGGGGTTCATCTCCTCAGCTGAGCATACATCTGAGACCGTCATGCTTTACACCTTCATTTAAAATGAGGGAGAAGCGTAATGTCCTTAGAGTTTTCAAACCCCATTGCTACGGGTAGAAAACTGGAGAGACACCAGAGGGAAACCCCGTCGTTACCCGATTCCTAAAAATCACCCACATTGGATGTAGGCTGTTAACCATGTTGACTTCTTTCACTGTCATCCCTTGGCACATGGACCCTCCAGCTCAGGAGACACCAAGAAAAGCTTTGATGAAGGGACCCTTTTCCCTGCTGGCCCTTGATTTTCAGGCAAATAAAAAGGATGTTTCTCTCTGTTCTTTTGCTGTCTCCCAGGATGGTGGTTGTTATGGTGATCTGTTCTGCAAAGCTCTGAAAACATATAATATGCTTTGTTTTGGAATTTACCGGCTGAGAGATGCCCACCTCAGCACCCCCAGTCAGTGCACAAAGAGGTGAGTATTTGTTCCAACTCTGCCCTCCCCAACTAACCACAGAAACAATAATGTCCTCTCCTGTCCCCTTCCTGTAAAGGCAAAGGTCTGTATAAATCCCTTCAACACAAATTACCCTGCCCATATTAAATCCAACACTGACTTTGGAGGTGATGGTAAACATTTTTTCTATAACTACTAGTAGTAGATGTAAAGACATTTTGGTAAGGATTCAAGATTTGTGTTAATAGAATAATTCCATCACCCAATTACAAAAGTCTGAATAGAAGCATCTCTCCCAAACTCCACTACTGGGATAATTTCTGTTGGTACCTAATATAGAGATATTTCACATTGCTAGTGTTTAAGATAAGTTTTTGTGTTTTTTTTTTTTTTTCTTTTTAGATGGAGTCTTGCTCTGTTGCCCAGGCGGCTGGAGTGCGGTGGCACAATCTTGCCTCACTGCAACCTCTGCCTCCTGGGTTCAAGTGATTCTCGTGCCTTAGCCTCCCTAGTAGTGGGAATTACTAGGTGTGTGCCACCACGCCCAGCTAATTTTTGTATTTTTAGCAGAGACAAGATTTCACCACTTTGGCCAGGCTGGTCTCGAACTCATGACCTCAAGTGATCCACCCACTTCGGCCTCCCAAAGTGCTGGGATTACAGGCATGAGCCACCACACCTAGCCCGAAAATAAGTGGTTTTTCTGCCATATCTTAGAGTGCTATATTTTTACTTCATATATTTTAAATCAACTCATTTTTTAACTTTTATATATTTTTGAGACAGTTGTATATTATCACCTGAAGCTGAAAAATAACAGTTTAGATGTGCTAATTATATTTTTCTCATATGCATTAAAATAAATTCATAGCAGGCAAAAATTAAAAGTACATCCTAGAATTACCAAGATCAGTGAGTTTGCATAATATACCCTAGGCAATAATGCTGCAGAGACAAGTGTTTCTCATCCCTGCTTGCATAGTAGAATCACCTGGGAGCTTTTAAAAAATATTCTGATTAATTTAATTGGTCTGGAAGGAAGAAAAAATAATATATGTATATTTTAAAATATGTAAAAATTTTATATATAATACCCAGGGATTATAGTGTATAGCCAGAAGTGAGAACAATTGCTGTAGACCAGTGGGTTCTCAAAATTTAGCCAGCATGAGAATCACCTGCAGAGCTTGTTCGACTGCAGGTTGGTGGACCCTATCCTCAGCACTTCTGATTCAGTAGGTCTGGGTGGGGTTGCTTAAGAAGTTGCATTTCCTAGTTCCTAGGTAGGTGATGCAGAGAGCCACACTCGGTGATCCACTGCTATAAATGAAACTGGATGATTATCTTAGTCACATCTGCTGTTGACAGGAGAAAGCGCCAACTAATTGTGATGAACAATGAAGTAGTGCTGACAGGTAGGCAGGGAAGAGTTTTAGATTCTCCCATGTGTTGAATTCCAAATTCCAAATTCTCCCACCAAAGTGGATTTTTAAAGGCAAGGTTAGTCTAAGGGGACACTCTGTCATGGTAAACAAAGATCCTGTAATGTATATCTGGGATTGTCAGAAAATTCTGGAATAAAAATTGTATCACAGTCCATGAAAACTCCAGTGGATGGGCTACTTGGAAGTGATTTTGACCTTGTATGGAAAGGTACATGTAGACCAGGAAAAGCGAAGTTTGGTTCTTCCATCACTGGCTCTAATTCTGCATCTCTGCCTGGGCTCCTGGCTGGCCCCCTTTCTTGCGTTAAACAGAGGAAGTTTCTATTTAACGAGGAAAAGAACGTTTAAGGCCTTGGACCAGCTAAAAGTTCTTCTTTCAGATCCTCTGAAAGACCTGAGCAAACAGGCCATGGCTTTTGGTTCAGGGAGTATTGAATTCTTCACTTAGTTACTCTCGGGCGTTGACATCTCTGCTTTCCCTGTCTAGGTATGTCATCACCAACCCCCCCTACGAGTTTGAGCTCGTGCCGACGGACCTGATCTTCTGCTTAATGCAGTTTGACCACAACGCTGGCCAGTCCCGGGCCAGCCTGTCCCATTCCTCCCACTCCTCGCAGTCCTCCAGCAAGAAGAGCTCCTCTGTTCACTCCATCCCGTCCACAGCAAACCGACAGAACCGGCCCAAGTCCAGGGAGTCCCGGGACAAACAGAAGTACGTGCAGGAAGAGCGGCTTTGATATGTGTATCCACCACCACTGTGTGAAACTGTATCTGCCACTCATTTCCCCAGTTGGCGTTTTCAACAAAGTAACTTTCCCTGTTTTCCCCTGTAGTCCCCCCCCCTTTTTTTTTTACACATATTTGCATATGTATGATAGTGTGCATGTGGTTGTCATTTTTATTTCACCACCATAAAACCCTTGAGCACAACAGCAAATAAGCAGAAGGACCAAAAGTTATTTATGATTCTAGGGGAAAAATAACCCAAAGGCATGCTCCAGACATAAATAGCTCGCTGCAGGAATGAGTTCACAGATTAGAAGGGAGCATTTGTGATCAATGTCAGTTAGGCAAAGCAAGTTTATTTAATGTAAAAGAAAAGTTGATTCTGATTCGTCAGGATTATCAGGGTGCTTTGGGTTTTGATTTTGTTGTTGTTGTTGTTTTCCTTTCTTTTTTTTTATATACACAGTAAGTTGGCACATGTTTATTTGAAACAAGCAACCAAACGGCAGTGAAAACATATTGATTGTTTCTACTCTCTGGGCCGAAGTATTGCGAAGCATTTGAAAGGCTTTCACGATTTGTGTCGATGATTATGAAGGACCTGCTTGTTGCAAGCGAACATCAGAGATTTTTTTTTTTTTTTTTTTTTTTTTACTCACCAAGGCCTTTTGTCCCAGAGCCAGTTTCCTCTGGGAGTTCATATGAACATTTCTCACCTTAATATAGAGGAAAGAATAGTATTCCATTCATGGATGTATCAAATTCTAGTCATTTTGTTTAAGTGAAAAGAGGTTTGATTGCATATTAAATTGTTATTCTGTCTCCTTATGTTGCCATATGAATAGCTATTTTTTTCTTTCACTTTTGACATTTGGGATGAAAAGCCATATGTATCATAAATATCCGATGTAAGTCATTAAAAACTGCCTTCCTGGGACTTTTACATCTTTTAAAAGGTGAATTACTTACCTTATGTACAGAATAAATAATGCTCAGGAAAGAGCAAGTATTTTTCCATGCATTCTCAGGGGATCTTTTTACTCCCCTTTGTTTGATTAGTTATGGCCCCAATGCCAGGTAGGAGGAAGGGCTGGGGCAATGGTAGAGTCAGAGGAAGACAAACCCATCTGCAGATCATGTTTTTCTAGGAGCTGACTTGCTAAATAAATTAGAATGTAGGAGCATCAGCCACAGTTGACTCAACAAAGACAAAAGCCAGGCACCACCTTCAACTGCTGGCGCAGCCGCACAGTGCTGGCTGTCCCAATGCAGAAAGCTGGTGGGAAAGAATTCCTCATCATCGCTTTCTTTAACATAGCCAATTTAGGCAGGGTAAGGACGACAGTCGAGAGCTGCTCCTTGTCATTATGAGACGTGGGATAAGAGTGCAACAGTGAGCCAAACACATTTTGGTATAGTTATATTTTTCTTTTGTTTTCTTTCTTTCTGAACAGTTAGTAAGCATGAGAGGAGAGGTAGAAAAATGCCCCTTTTTTCAACATATAGTTGCCAGATGCTTTGTGCATGCAAATCATGCTTTAGGCAGTGCTATAGTTCTTAAAAATTGGCCAATTCACCATAACCGATTTCTCTTATGGATGGAATAGCACTGGGCTGGTATATACATATTTGAAATGTTTTAAGAATTCCATCGCATAGAATAGGTGTAAAAGGGAGGAGGAAAACATGTCACAGCTGTACCATCTCTAAAAAGGTGTTTTTATGGTGAATGTTTTGGATTTAGATTTTGGATCCCCCGTCCCCTCAAGCATGATAGTTTTGGAGATTTGCTTGCTGTGTGAATTGACAAGCACTTTTACTGACAAAATGGTGAGGCTCAGTCAGAACCTCCACCCTCCCCCACACCAAAGACAGGGGCAGTGTAGTTTTCAAACCAGTATTGCGGTGGGGAATAATTGTATAAATGTAAATTAACAAGCCCTATGAGTGGAAGAATTTTTTCAAATTATTTTTGTCTCTCTATATATTGATTTATATTATGCATAACTATCTCTTTATATAAAACTATATATATATATATAACTATATATATATAACTATATATATATAACTATATATATGTTTCCCCTAGTATTGGATCATGAAGAGCTCTTCATGCATTCTTTGCAAAGGAGGTTATAAAGTTACGCCCTCAGAACATTTATAACTATAAGAATGTGCCAGTTAAAGTGCTCAACAGGAAATATGACAGTTTAAAAGCATTGTAAAACTCACATAGCTTACTTCTCTCTCTAAAGTGCAACAAGGATGAATAGAATGGGCCAAGGTATGACAATTAATGGTTCTGCATGACCTAGCCACTGCTGGGGGTTTTCTTCTATAACGTTGTCCTTGTGAAAACTTTTGTGAAATTAAAAAAAAAAAGGAGTTACAAATTTTATTCTGTTATTGGTTTGTTTATTTTTATTTATATTGTTCTGTTTGTGATTTTATTTATTTTGTTTTGCTTTCCCTCCTCCCCTTTTCCTCCCTTTTCCCTTCCTTCTTCTCTTCCTTCCTTCTTCCACTTTCTAAATTGCTCAGCGCAATGAGGCTGTGCTGCTGCTATTGCTAGATTCCTTAGAGTTTGTTTTGGTGTTCTTGGGTGTGGGGTTGGGTAATTTGGGGGGAACTTCTCTCCATCTGGCTTGCCTTTTAATCTGCACGTGGCCTCGCTGCCCACCCTGGTACCTTGCTCCAAGTCCAAAAGCATTTTCCCTTCAAGAAACCCAGCTTCCTTCACTTCCCCCATTGCCACCCCAACCCCAGTTCCCCCATCGGTCTGTTCACAGCTCTGTGTTCATCTTGGCAAGATCTACTCAATCAAGTGATGATGCCAGTTGTTAAACTTTTCTGGAAAACATTTGCAGCAATTCCATTTGGCAAACCTGCTTCTCTGTCAATATTTTGTCCTCCTTTTATTTAAACCAGGAGGGTTCTTAATGGCAAAAGCATTGGTATTCTTTATGCTTGATCAGTATGACCCAAATTAAAACTGTTCTGTTGTGTATATCAACTCAGTAGTCCACACCCACTTATCTGGGAGCTGATGGTTTAGTCACTGTACTACCCAAATCTCTCCTGCCACCTGCCTTTCAGACATTTGTTAAATCCCAACCAGAGATTGGGCAGATAGAGAGAAGTAAATCAGAAGTGCGCTTTACATAGAATCTGTTTGCAACTCCAATGAGGATACTGTGATGGGAATGGAATGGGAACAGACTATGACATGAGATGGAATTTTGAGGTTTTCCTGGACTTTGGGCACACAGTCATTCCCCACTGGTAGATAACTGAGAATTGACCATACTTGAGTAATGATAAATTTGATGATGGAGAAGGATCATCATTACTTCGATTTTGTTTGCCAAAACAGCTGTATTATACTTTCCTTAATAGAGTGAAGAATCTCCTCCATTGTTTTCTATTTGACTCCAAACTTCCCCTTCCTCTTTCAGTAGAACATCTGCTTGCTTAGAAAGGAGTCATAGACGTTTCTCATTATTATTTCTCTTCCCCTTCACTGCCCTCTGCCAANAAAAAAAAAAAAAAAAAAAAAAAAAAAAAAGGAAAAAGGAGGCAAGGGTGGAAAGTGAAAGAGTTCTTTGAAAAGAAAGTATATACATTTTAAAAGGTAGGAACTCCATTATCTGCACCATTCTAGAAGAGAAGCCATTTGTAAGCCATTTAGTCTAGCTTGCTTTGGGCTTTGAAAGGGGTGAACAGTAAGTTGCCTGGTAAACCAGAAGGCACAGTGAAGCCTTCTCAGTGTCAACACTAGGGTGATCATGGAATCATGAATTTCCCTAAAGACTGCTACCCAGGGTTCTTCCCAAAGCCAGTTCAAATGGATATAGAAAGCTAGACTTTTATACATACAGTTAAACTTTTGCCACAATTGGGAGGGGTTTCAAATTCTGTTCAGAATATTAAAGGTTATGACCCAGAACCTTACCATGGGCGCTCAATAAGTATTTGATACGAATTGACTTTACATATTTTTATGCCTTTAATCATTTTCTATATTACTCTTGTTCCCTTGGTTTATTTATTTATTTTTTTTTTGAAAAGATGAGTGCCTTTACGTGCCTCATGATGCTGCTGTGCTGGTGGCACTTTCTCATGCTGGTCACACAGCTTCCGAGAAAGGGGAATAGCCCTGTAAGCTCAATGAGTAGAGGGACTGATTGTGCCTCTTGGCAGCATCGTCCAGATCCCAGATGACCAGGAAAACCTTTTGCCTGGCTCTTCTGCAGCATGGCAAAAGCCTAAAGGTGTCTGCATCCCGATAGAGACAATTAAATCAACCTGCCAGGTTCCTATAGCAACAGGCTCCTTGAAGGAGAAAGAGGAGAGTACAGAAACTCCAGGGCCTGTAGAAGTCAAGACAGTGTAAAAATCAATTTCTCAATCAGCTTCTTTCAGCCCATCCCTGCTTTGTCACAATATGATAAAGAAATAGCTGTGGGCACCTGTCACTACACTGGCTGGCTGACTCCCATGCAAGATTGCATGCCCATTGCAACCACTGGAGGTGAGAGGGATTATCCCCTGCCACCAGGATTAGTGAAGAGTCTGTCCTCAGGGTGTTGGCTGGACCAAGGGCCACATAGGAGAGCTGGGAGAGCAGTTCGTTCTGCTCAAAGAATGGCAGCATCAGACTTTTGGTTAAAAAACAGAGTCACGGTAGGCAATTGCGAAGAAGTAAGAATATTTTTCTTAAACAGAAACTGCGTTTGTTCTGGCACAAATAATTTTTTTCTCTAAGAAATAGGCATACTCTGCTAACACGAGAGGAGGTGGTATGTGTGGGTGGTGGGTGGGAATGGTGGGGGCATCAGGGTTTGCCCAGCAGAGGAAGTATGCCAGGTTGCCTATCGGAAATGCAGGACAAGAAACCACACAGCTATTACCCTTGAAGGTCGGAGCCCCCTGTTAGTCCTTTCTGTTCTCCATGGTGTCTCTCTTGAAACAGAATCTTTTCTTTTGAGCCTTTTCTCTCTCAACCTCAGCTTGTGGTATAGTGAGAAGAGGGCCAATTATCCAAACGCTTTTGCTGTATCATTGCCTCCCCTTTCCTGCGATCTTCTCTAGGGAGTAGTTCTGTGAAAAGGCTAATTCCCACAGCACTGACAACCCACAGAGCCAACAGAGAAGCTTAATTCTCACAGTGCAGCCTGTTTCTTCTTCTGCTGGTGGCGGCTCAGTCAGCCCAGCTCTGGGGGCCTTCCCTGCAAGAGCCCACTCCTCCACGGTGACCTGTAGCCCTGTGGCTGCAGGAGGTTTTGATCCTTATTTTAAACCCTGTGATCTCAGTGATGAAACTAGAAATGCAAGAAACAGATGGTTCTCAGATGGGATAAGATAGCTGGTGAGTGAAAGCCAGTATTTCAGAGACACAGAGGCACCCTGGGAAGGGAGGAACCTTCAGCTCCCCAGACATAACACTGGGTTACCGCGTCTTCTCCTTTACCTTCCAAATGAATATGACCAACCAAATCCCTCTCTGTAACCTCTGTTGGCACAATTCGTGCTCTTCAGGATACACCCTGATATCCACATCCCTGTTTTCTACCCCCAGCATCTCTGCTGAAGGGCATCATTTATCATCACTTTCAAGAGGCACCACCCATGCTTACATCATCCTTTAGTACTGATAGTACTCAGGCTAGTACTAAACTTATTCTAAAAGCTAACACTTCAGCAACTGCCTTAGGCCAGGCACTCTCCTAAGCACTTTTTAGTTACCTATACAAATTCAATTCTCACAAGAGTTTCAGATGGAGATGCTGTGTGTCCATTTCAAAGATTCAGAATCTGAGAGACAGTAGTCTGTGAAGTTAGCCACTATGGCATAATGCCCACTGATATTATTAATAATACTAATAACCTTATTTACTCACATTTACTTGCCATGTATCTGGACCTGTGTGTTTCAAGGACACTAGCTCCATCTATCTAAACAACGCTATTAGGAAGTTTGTATCATCAGCCGTATTTTATAGAAGAGGAATGAAGCTAAGACAAATTCAGTAATAACTTGTTCAGAGCCACACAACTGGTATGTGAGCCAGGTCTGCTTGACTTTAACCTCCTGCCCTGCACTGTCTCCTTAGCCCACATCCCCTTGCCTCTTCCCGCTGGACAGCTCATAGGATGGCTGGTCTTGATAGGTGACATCTCCCAGTGGCAGTGGCAATTCTACTAGAATCTCTCTGCAGCTGTTTTCCAGATTTTTATCTTGTCCCACTAGCCCCCTCCCAGCCTCTTCTTTCCTTACTTCACGAACTCCGACTGCTGAAAACAGGCATTTCATTCTTAAGAAGCTTATTAACAAATGAGGCTATTTTTCTCTGGCAGTGAGGAAGCCCTCCCAGCCCGATCAATTGCCCTTCTCATCTTAGAGATGAAAATAAAGCCCCTGGAAATCTTTCTGGCGTGGGAGATGAAACAGGGAGTGGAGATAAACTCAGGGATTTGGATTTATCCTTGACCATGCAGCATTCATTAGAACTGCTTCCCTGAGTCCTCTTCCTCGTGGTCAATTTTGTAGCAACCTATTCGTATTGTTTCTTCCTCAAAAGGCAAGATTCAATACATCAGATTGTCATTGCCCTACTTGAAGCACTCTCCTTGGATGCCAAATGGCTGGTGATCATGGAAATGTGTGTTCCTCGGAATCATGTTGGGAGAATCTCTTTGTAAATACCTTTGCCACCAGACATTTTAGTAAAACACCCAGAGCATTCCTATATTTCCATTTCCTGAACATCCTATGTAACCGAGTCTCCAAGACCACACACATTTAAATCGTAGGAAGCACCCAAATTAAACAGCTGTTTCTCAGGCATAAGGAAGACCTCAACTCCTCACCACAGTGTGTTTTAACACAGCTCGCTCCTTGTGTTGAGGCAGTGTGGCCAAAACATGGGCTACTCTGCTTAGCTCTTTTTTTTAATGGCAAGAAATTTAAAAGGAAAAAGAGAAGCTTAAATGGGGAAATAATGCTCTCTTTCTTACAGACAGCAGAAGGAAATTGATATCCTCTCTGCCGTGAAAGGTCAAAATGCCAACTTTGAATTGAACTGTAAAGAGTAAATTCTGAACAATTATTCTCTGCAGCAGTTGTAAAAATTTCAGTAAATTGCAGCTGTCTTAGGTCTTTCACCCAAAAGACCTACTCATTTCCATCAGCTGAGTTCACTCTTCCAACCTGGCATGTCCAACCTAGCACTAAATCCCTTTGCAAAATTGATCTGCATAACAGCATGGCAAAAACCAAGGGCAGCTCAGGCAACCGGAGTACAAACACCAGGCTCAACCTCTCTGAAAATCATCCTTGCACATAAACCGCTGGAAAAAGTAGTAGTTTGAAATTGTTTCAGCGGCCTGGCAATGCTTTTAAAACATGATAACCATCACACTTTACTCCTCTCTGAAAGGTTAGTTTAATCGTAGATCACAAAAAATTGGTTTCCACAAATGCATAATGGTTCATCTATGTCACACTTGAACTAAATGGTTTTTTAAATGGAGCTGAAATTATTTTGATGTGTACACAGACCCAGATTTCTATACAACCTTTTTTAACCAGCCCATCAGGAACCTTGCCTCTAAAGCCTCATTAATAATTCAGATGTGCTGATGACTTTAAAAGATCTATGGAATTGAAGCTTAGGGAAAAAAAAAAACTCTGCTTGACAAAAAGATAAATGAATGTAGAAAGAAGCTGTAGGAGTCTGGCAAGCTGTAGATCATCTGAGAACAGATTGTAACTTTATCATTCTGTCAGGGGGAATAATTTAAAGCACTTAATCAGTTAGCTTCACTGTGAGGATGTAGCATTATGAATTCCTATCGTCCAATCTGTTCAAATCAAAGTGAACTTAATTATAATAGGTGAGCGAGCCAGAGCAGGAGAGGGGGAGGAGAACGAGGCAAGAGGTAGCAAGTTTCCTGTGGGGTAAACTGAGCTGCTGTATAAATGGGGGGGTGAGTCTTTGACTCAGTCACATCCCAGTTCCAGCAACAGCCCACCTTGACACTGACAGCTCAGGGCACTTGAAAGGGCAGAAGTAGGAACTGAGGAGAAATAAGCAGAGTGGTCATTGGCTGATCATAGATGCTTAATTTATAAATCATTAGCCAAACATGCACATAACCCTCCATATCCCCTATCAAACCAGGTGAGCAGTCTTCACTAATGTGTCCATCCAGGACCACTGATAAGGCAATTACAAATTGTTCTGGTAAGCAGAAAAAGCAGCTAGAGAGGCCATTGTCTCTATAGCAGTGGACGTGCTTGATAGCTTTTACCCTTTTCCTTTTTCTTTTCTTTCCCTAAGCCACTAAAGTGAGGCATATGATTCCTAAGTTAGAATGTCCGATTTGCCCAGTCCTTTCCTATCTATACACATGGCCAATTTCCCAGAAAATTTCAATCCTAGAAAGAGGCGGGGATGAGGGTTGAGTCTTGTAAAATAGCTCTGCACTGCTAAGAAGATGCTAGACCATTCTCATTCTCACCCCAGCCCCCGAACACCCTGACTCAGCATTCTCTCTCAGCCATTTCTGTATTTAGGGTGGAAATGAAATGCCAAGACTTCACTGAGCTCCCTTGTCGACAGCTTGGGTTATTATAGTCAGTCAAGATATTGCCACTTGGAACTCTATTCATAACTTTATACCAACACAGAGTTTTCTTTCTTAAAATAAAAGCCACCTCAAAATCCTCTTTAAAACATTGGTCACTATTCTGATTTTCATAGATTTTCGGCCAGCAAAATCTATGGGTTTAAAACCCCTTAAAGTGGCTACAAATGAAACAGGAGTGTGGTATAGTTGAAACGTGGCTTTAAGTGTGCGTGTTATAAGCAAAGCCAAGAAAAGGCTGGGAGGTGGTGATTCTGCATGAGATTCTAGATCCCCTCTGCAGCAAGGGTGGTGGTGCCCTTCCATGTTCCACTCAAATCAATGGACAAACATATCTCTCCTCAGGCACAATGTCTCTACCCAACAGCTGATACATGCAACATCCCTTCCCCACCAAACCTTTTCTGGCCACGAAATTAACTCCAAGGAACATTGCCAGAGTCCATTCTCCAATCCCTCTTTAGCTTCTGAGGTCCACCCATGGTGCCTCTGAGTCCCAGTGGCACATTTTGTTCATCACTGGCTACAGGAAGCAGAGGTATGTTTCAGGTTCTGGGGTCCTCCCTACACTGCAGTGTCTCACTTAGCAATTACTCACTGTCCGTTTCTATCGATTACCTTTTTGCATTTTTCAATGAACTTTCCAAAGGCTTTACCCTAGGACTAATTAAACTTCTCATTTCTCCTTCTTGTTCTCTATCCATTTTGCCCTTTAGCAGAAAAGAAATGGTTTACAGATGAACCGGATAATGCCTATCCCAGAAACATTCAAATCAAGCCCATGAGTACCCACATGGCTAACCAGATCAACCAATATAAATCCACAAGCAGCTTGATTCCACCAATCAGAGAAGTTGAAGATGAATGTTGACTCCCAGGAGACCAGAACTATTTTTTTAAAGCCTGACCAACTTCATAAATGGTGACGTGACTTTTCTTCTTACATGCTGAATCACTGGTGGAAACGTTAAGATAAGCAAAAATTGCCAGAAAAAAAAGTAGACAGATCTTTCTCTTTGTCTGCCTTGAATATTGCTTCCATGTATTTTGGAAAAGAAAATGATTTCATTTATAAATGAACATACTAAAATAGTCATGTATAGCCTCTAGCATTTTAAATTATTTTTATTTATTAGAAAGAAAATATATTTTTCCTTTCTTTTCATTGTCAAATATCTTCCCTATATCTAAATAATGCAAAATCTAAATGAGTAAGTGGCCAGACTCCTTAATGCGTTTTTCTCTTCTTTCTCTCTTTTTCTTTGAGGAGAATGATGGTCACCACCACAATTAATTGTAATTACAGGAAATGAATTATTAAAACAATTTTAAAATGGCCAATGATGTATACATGTATTTTAGTAAATCCAAAAAGGAAGACTAAGGGATCAGGTGAATACCTGCTCCTTGCCTGGATGGGTGTGTATTTTGATCTGCATTTACACCAGCTCTGAATAAATGGAAACTTACTTATTTTCACAGTTGAAAGTCATATTTTTGTGGTTTCAGTTTTCATTCTGTAGTTCTCACCCCTTTGTTCATAGTTTTAAAGGGAAGTCCTTCTTGCTGCTTTTCTACAATTGGCAGGCTTGTCTGGCAAGCTAAGGACACCAGGAGGGTTGTGGGCACACCTGGGATGTGGAAGCTGAGGGCCAGATGCACACAGGCATTGCTCTGTTTCCTGTTCTAGTGGTGGGGACTCTACATGCTGTTATGCTTCTCATTTCGTATTTCCAAGCCACCTGAGCAAGTAATGTCAACTTCAGGAGGGTCTGGTGGACTTTCTCCCCACTCCCCAAGTCTCAGAGCTTTTAGCCTGGAAGTTTATAAAACTGATCCATAGTTTTACTTTACCATAGGATATGAGAGGGCATTCATTCTTCTCACTGAGTTTTTGTTTAAAAGCCAGGACATTTCTATACCCATGGAGACAGATTTTACTTTGCATGTGCTCCTTTATTTAGTTGCTGGGGCCAAACACATGAACTGATTACAACAATTTAAAAAACAATAACAAAAGGAAAGCAATGAATGCACTTCATATAGACTGTTAGAAAAGGCCTTTGAAAATTACCAGCAGTGAAATCAAATATATCAGCCACTTCAAACTGGGGTCAAAAGATTTTTCTAGCCATCCGATGCAATTACTATGTCTCAGAGCTCTGCTGTCACTTGCGTGCTCGGTGTACAGTCTCCCGGCAACCGTTTTGCTCCAATCAACTTAGCAAGTCTTTCAACTTTAAAATTCTCAGTCTTTGATATGATCATCAAGGTCTCTGGAGAAGCATGAATGTGATAGTGATTTCTATTTTCTTCAAAAATGTAAACTGTGGACGCTTAAAGGATCCAAGCTAACTGAAGTATCCCCCCAAAGTTTCATGATATCTAGTCCATTAACTCTTTGGGCCATGACCTGTGGTACCTAGTTAAGGTAGTGCAAATCAGATCAGAGCAAAGCAATGAGATCACCATGAAGACATACGTCCACTAAGTACTCCAATTACCAACGTAGGCAAAATGAGCTTCCACCTCTGTCCACTCCCTGCAGAGCCAATATAGTCGTGCTTCCACCTCGTAGGCATTGTCCTGCAGTGACTTGTCGGACTGTGGTTACTCTGTCGTCACATTTTGTAGAATTAGTTCTATAAAAGTATTGTGAATATAATGTATGTCCAATTGGATTGTTTAAAAACTACTTGTAATTAATCACTAGCCTACTCAGCAGACTAAAATGACGTCAACAGTCTATATTCAGGCTTATAAACATTTCTTGGTTTCCAACAGAAGTCAAATGCGTTTGTGGGGAGAACCTCTTGCTAGGATTTTGACAACTTTCCTGAAAGCTAGGCCTTCTTTCACATAATGATTTTGCATTGGGGTCACCTTAGTATATTCATGTCAATCCACGCTCTTCTTTCCTTCATGAACCATAATGGGCTCTTCACTCCTGTTCCTAATAACCACCTTCGAATTTGTTTGAGCAATTTGGTCTCCTCTGGCAGGCTGTGGTGGCCACATAAGGGATCTTCCATTAGAGGGACACAAGACACAAAGCCCCATTCCCAGTATCCTCTCTTCCCTGTGTCTCCCCTACCAAAGCAACCTGGAAGCAGAAATGTAAACTCCAACCCCATCACACATCCATTGATGCATTTGTGGCTAGAGATTTGAATTTAAACTTTTTTTAAAAAATCATAATAGGTAGGATCGTTTCCTACAGTAAAGGGCTCCTTGATTCATAAGCACCCCCGCAAAAAAATTGGTAGAAATTCATTTTCTTTTAAGTAGAGCAATAAGTTCATACTGTGTTGCCTTTGTAATAATAAATTGTACTGGACTAGAAAGCAAAATGAGGCATTTTGTTAAGGTGGTAGGAAAATGACTGGTTGGTGGGTCCTTTGGCAAAAGCTGATGCCTGGTAAGTAGAAACCGAAATGGAGACATAAATAAAATTTGTGAAATCACTGGAGGGCTCAAGCACATGCCGGAGCTTCTTCCTGACTTGTTCCTACTCGTTGAGCACTTTGGCCCTGAGTCCCCTCCATCTCCACTGCAACAGTCTGTCTTTCAGCCTCCATCTACCTGAGACCAAGGAGGGTCTTCCTTGGCACTGTCCATATTATGAGGCTCTGATTTCCCATCCCAGTTTAGGGCTCCAGAAAAGCCATTTTCCCAAACTAATGATTCTTGGGTGCTGTGGGAATCAAAGACTCACCAACAGCGTGTTTAAAAAGCAGAAAATGTCATCACCATCATCACCTTTCTCCTTGAGAAAACTTATATTTTTGTCTAAGCAAATTTGTATTTTAGAATATCATCTTGAACCATTAAAAAAAACACCTTAAATAAAAGTGACCGTGACTAAGGCACATTCCAAAACTCTTTCCTCCCAAGCGTTCTGGCACCTTATTATGTACTTTGTAAAAAAATTAATTGACAGCTTTAAATAGGAAATTAGAAGCGTTTGTTAGGGTTGGATAAAGGAAAAGTGAGAAAGCTTAAGAAATTTGGGGTATTTTCATGTTGAAAGGAGAAAAGGCACAAGTTCCCTAGTTACCGTTTAATATGAGAGTTCAAGAGCCACATTTACAAACAACTATGAACTTTGAAAATGTTTTTAAAACCTTCTGAGTCGTGGTGATTTTATTTGTAAATGACTCATTCAGATGACTCTAAAGTCCCTTTCAGGTCCCAGGGGACACGATCTAAGTTAGGAGTGGGAACATGGGAGTGGCTGCCTCTCCTTGGTGAAGGCCTTGGAGACTATTGTGTCCAGGGCTGGAATAATGGTCCTTTTTGCTGCATCACCCAGGCAAAACTCCTGGCCTTATTCAGGAGTAGTGAACATTTATTTTCTGCTCTGGACATAGAATAGTTAGGTTCATTCCTGTGCTTTTCATGTTAGAGTCCCTTTAGGTTCAAGATGCAAATTTCTCAATTCAGACACACTTGAATCACATTGGTCAAATTTCACTATCTGTTTCTAGGATTTTCTTCTCAATTTCAACACAGCCTTCACTTTTTTTTTTTTTTTTGGTCCAAGGCCCAGCCTCAGTTAATTCCTTCATCTCTATTCCATGTCTCCAATTCCTAGTGTGTAATTAGGGGTTCAAGAGACCCCAAATTCCTGCCATTTTCCCCATGTGCATCTGGCCTTCAGGAAGTAACCAGTCTTGCTTCCCATGTTATTTCCTGTTCTCTGTTTATTTGGTTGTTTTCTTTCGTTAATAAATTAACCATCTCTTAACTACTTACATACATAAATGTAATTTTAATCCATTGAATTTTATTGTTAAGGAGAACCTCACTGAAGGAAGGAAGGGCAAAATTGAAGAATAAATGTCAGAAGGGTGAGAAACAAAGACTATCCAACCAACTGACTGAGATGTGATCACCTTGACTCCTAGGAGACTAAGTAGATGCATTCAGCTTAACCACTGAGTTACAGGGCAGAATCTGTCCATTTTTTGTTTTCTTCTTACTTGCTGCTTTTGGAACGGTGGTAAAGCCACCAGTCAACGTGACACTTGAAAGGGCCTTCACTAAGTAGGACTTGATTCATCCTCTTTAAAAAGCAAAAAAAACAGAATTTACTTAAAACCTTCTTGAAAATTACCTTTCTGCTACTCTCCTTATTCCCAAAAGGCTTTTTTTTTTTTTTTTTTTTTTTTTTTTTTGGTATTCAGTGCGGATGATTTAGCATGTAAATCCCATAATCAATTGAGGAGGTGATGAGGCTATTTGGATTTATTTATGTGATAGTAGTAATTAGGAATGATTTCTAGCAGTTTGTACTAGTTTGATCATATTGGTTGTTTAAGTGGAGTCTCTTCTGATTGGTTGTTGCCCATAAAATATCTATTGTGAATAATTTCAAGATTTCCATTAAAATAAGGCAACTTGGAAAATATTTTAAATTTTATTTCTTAAGGGACCACAGAGCCTAATTTTCCATTTTTATGTTAAGGTTCCTTAAAACACAAATAAAAAGAAGCCTATGTGCCCAAAGACAGAGGCACCTGTAGCCCTACAACATTTGGAAGCTCCTTGATATCATGGCGCCACATGGATAGACTGGAGAAAGGATTCTGACTTAGACCACCTGCAGCAGACTTTCCTCTTTTGCCATATTTTTTTATCTTAATAAGGACCTGAGACTCCTTATCTGAAGATAAGCCAAACTCATAGTATACATTAAGAATCTGGGAAGAAAGAAAAAAAGAAAAAAGATATAATAAGCAATATTTTAAAGTACCATGAGTTATGGGCGTGCATATGGTACAAAGAGTAGTTCTTTGTGTTGAAAGAAAGAAGAGGTTGCATTGCAGCCTCATGGGCTGCAAGAATGCAGAGGCATTTAATGCTGGATGGGCTTTGGAAGCATTTCAATAGTAAATGGGTGACAGGTCTGGAAAGACGTGGAATATGAGGGTTTTCCAGGGAGACAGGACTTAATAGGCCATGATGTATTTGTGGAAATGTGATTTCAATAGATTGACTATTTTGTCTACTGTGATAAGTTTGCATAGGGGAACTGTGGAAAACTGAGATGAGACTTCATGGAAGGGGCTACAGAGTACAGTCTAAGGGTCAAGATAAAAGTTTGAAACTTGATTTAGAAAGTCATGGAAAGCCAGTAAAGAATTTTAAGCAGAGAGTGATGGGGCAGCAATGGCTGTGCATTTTTCGGGTTGAAGGTAGTGAGATGTCAGTTCTTCCTGGAAGATATCATGAGAATGCACATCAAACTGAACATTTTCCTAGCAGCATGGAGTGCTAAGGGGCGCACCCTCCAGGTCAACAACTCACTGTGTGCAGCACCTCCCTTCCTCACACATTTTGCTTTGCTTTGTGTCACAAGATCATCAAAAACAACATCCTGATTCTACTGAATTACTAGAATGTCAGCAACAAACTCACAAAGTAGATTAGAGGGTAGGAATAGATGTGTAAGTTTTTAAAACCTGCCAATCACACTATTTTCTAGACAGTAATATAATAAGAACCTGTGGCAGGACATCCACAAATTATAGAGAATGATTAATAGTTCAGAACTGCCAAATAGGAATTCCCATTATGAAAACATCCTTATAGCTAATCAGGTAACCCTTGCTTAGAAAACAGCACTCACTAAATATTTGTAAAAGGAGCAGGTGGGGGAGAAATGAGCACAATCTAGGTCCTGACATCAGTCAGTTTATAATACAACAACTAAAGAAAGAAAATATGCCCAAAGTGCCACTAGAGAAAGGGTAAACACTAACAACATAGTTTCGCCATTCAATATGAAAGGAGTTGAAACGAGGGAGAAATACTGTAATTTCAGGTGATTCAGCAAGGTAGGATTTCTAGAGAAAGGGGGTTTTAGGAGTTGGATAAGTAGAGGGCCAGTATTCTAAGTATGAAGGCAGGATTATCTGGCATGCGGCAGGGTGGGTGACGTTAATCAGTAACTGCTAATGGGTATTTACTGAGTAGCCGCTGTATGCTCATGACTGTCAGACCATTAGAGGAAGATAGCCTGCCTGCCTAAATGGGAACACAAGCCACACATATATTGGAAGGATTATGTTGTACAAAACAGGTGTTCAATAAAGAATTTTTGAATACATGTGAACACTGAATAGCAAATAAATATTATGGATTGTAATAGTTGTAGAAGATTATTTGGGATTGTAGGGGCTGGGTGTGGGGCAATGGCTGTGGTTCTAGAAGATGTTCTTTGTGCCGTGAACACACACCTAATCTGTCCTCAAGGACAGAACCATGTGGAAGAATAGGAAAACAAGAGAAGCAGGCAGGAAGAGGAGGCAGTGAGTGGAGCAGCTAAGAAATGTTATATTGGTTCATCCAGAGCAGAAAAAGCTGAGAGCTATACATGAGGGAAGGACCCACAGGCAAGAGGAGTGGGACAGGGGACTGAATGAGTGGGTTACAACAGACCCTGCAGATGTGGAAGCCAGACCCACAGAGGTACTTGGAAAGGGAGGATCCTGGATGAATTCTCTTAAGGAGAAAGTGTAGGTTCAGGTCAGCTGGCAGATGTGTTTGTGGGCTACAATCATGTTTTTTGGGACTAAAAAGGAGCAAAACAAGTAGACCCTCTTGGGACAGAAGATATAGAGTATGCCAGAACCAGGAAAATGAGAAACAAGAGGGGAATTTTAAGAAAGAGAGGGCAAATCATCTGTGAGGTTAGAGATGAAAGATGTTGGAGATGGTGATGCAGAAGTCAAAGGACTCATTCGAAAGGCAGGAACGCTGCTTCTTTGTCCATATTCCCAGAGCTTGCCCTGAGGCCTGGTGCACGTGGACAGTCACTCAGCCACTAAGCGTCACTGTGGCTGCCACAGTGGATGGAAGCTGGCATGGTGATTGGCAGTCTTTCTGGAGGACTCACGAGAGAGGGGTCTTGAGATGGACATCTCCTTTCACCTTCCTGTCCATGTCACTGCACTGTTTTTCTTCCCTTCCTGAACAGCACATGCACTGCAGCTTTGGTTTCACGGGTGTGAAAACAAATGTTACAGCCACCTTGCTTTGGTGGCTTTTCTGAATAGGCAGTGTGAGAAGAGATGTTTTGGCCAGGTGAAAGTGTACTTTATACCTAGGTAGGTTTTTCAGTTTAGAAAGGTTTCCTTTGCTTATCCCTTGAGGACTTCTGTGTTGCTGCTTCTCCTCTGTCTTGCTATTCAACAGAACAGGGGGGAAAGTGACACCAATGCTCTCCGCCATGCCTGCCTTGGGAAGCACTGCCGGGCCCCACTGTTTAGAATCTTAGCTGGAAATGTACACAAGGCACTGACACATGCCTGCCAGAGCGACCCAGCACTCTCCTCCCATGGGATTCAGGGTCGACATGGGAAGCCAGCTAGCAGGGATGGGAGCCCCACCCACAATGTGGACCGAGCCTCACTTCCATACAAAACCAGAGTCCCGTCCATCCCAGAGTGGCTCACTCTCTTCCCCTTCCTTCCGCTGAATACAGCCTGACACACTTTTGACCAGAACTGCAACATTTCAAACATAAACCCAGATCTGTTGGGAAATCCTAATTAAAAACGTTCCATTCCCAGGTGGCACAATCACATCCTGCCTAAAACTTCTGGCCCACATCCCACCACCCAGACGTTGAAAAGAAACCTTCCTCTACTTAACACCAAAACCTGCACTTCAACGTTTCTTTAGGGGGACAAAGGAAAAAAAAAGGTACACACATGCAGAGTTCAGCCTACATGTTCATTAAGGAAAAAGAGCGTGGCTTATTCATCTTTCAATCTTTTGATTGTTGGCATTATGATTATGATTATGATTAATTACTCTAACTTGACAGGAAATGAAGGAGAGAATATATGCTGGTGCTTTGAAATGATCTACCCAACTCTGTCATCTGTAACAACCAGTGATCACTCTCTTGTCTTGTAAAAAGGGTTTGTACATAACTTGTACATGGTTTCATTTTGTATTTTTCGCAGATTAAAAATTTATGTATTTGTGTTCTAAAACAAGGAGTGTTTCTTGTGTCTTTTTAGCAGTCACATGCCATGGGGGTGAGAAGTGGGCAGGGGTGGCGAGGCTCTGAGTTCCAATCAGGCTACTTTGTTTCTTCCCTCCATTCTCCTCCATGAAGGCAAAGTTGTGGATTGATTGAAACCGTGGATTTCCCTTTGCAGCTTTGAGGGCAAATAGACCTCCCCACCTCCACAGTCTTCAAGGAGCTGGCCAGTGGGTGCTGCCCAAGACTGCAATAGGCATGGTGGACGGGAAGAGCTGCTGTCATTAAATGTGGTGCCTGAGAGCCCTATGGGCTGAATATATTTACTGAATAGCTATTATGGGCTGAACAGTCCTCAACTGGGAGCTGGGAAAACAACAGTGAGGAATTCTGTGATTCCAGTTCGCCAGCCAGGGCCAGAGGGACACGTGCTCCTGCGGAAGGCTCCAGCAAGCAGGCCACTAAAGAAATGCACAGCATTCAACAGGTCCTTGGAAAGCTAGCTAAAGCATTTCTTTGCTCAGCCACCCACTCTCAAGCTAGTTACCATTCCCTGCCATTTTCACAGAGAAATGGTGTTCTTTCCCCTGCATTTAGCTTAGCAAAACCCAGGACAATCTGCTAAAGGTTTGACTCATCCTACTTCACACTCAGCCCCAAGAGGGCAACAGATGGAATTTTTAAGAGGAAGGAAAGGAAAAAAAAAAAAAGCCCTTAAAAACGAATGCTGCCATGTGCCATGTTAGGCCATACTTTAAACTTTCTTCAGAACCTTCAGAATTTGAACTCTTTTTAGGGGCCTGGACTCACAAGGGCAAAGCTGGTCCAGCCTAGAGAAAGGAAAAGACCTGGAGAATGGGAAAAAGCCATCCAAGGTATATAGATGTAATGTGCAGAATGTCTTGAGATTTAATGTATTCTAGAGATTGTCTCATTTGCTCATTAGCCAAATATTTACCGAATAGCTGTTATGTCAACAGTCCTCTGCTGGGAGCTGGGAAAACAACAGTGACGAATTCTATGATTCCAATTCTCCAGTCTTGGGGAGGGATGGGATCAGCAAATAAACAAGTGATAGTCATGTATTAAAAATTGATCTCTAGAGGAAAGCACAGTATGCCACTGGGAACACATCAGAGGGCACTTAGCTATTCGAAGAGAAGTATACCAATTGACAGACATTTTAAAAAAACAAATTCCCCTTCTACCTAAGCCAATATAAGCCCCACCTGGAACTTATTCCCAGTGGTCAGCAAATGCAGGTTTACCTGTCAGAATGTGCTAGTTCCTGACAGTCCTTTGCGCTCCAGTTTCTCAACTTGCCTTCTCCAATATTTGCTAACAAATCTGAATGTTGTTGGGGAATGTAATTGCAGAGCATATGGTCCCCATTAGTTAGGCAAACTCCACTGCCAAATTCAGCTCCAAGGAAGGAGTCTGCATAAAGGATGAAGTATTAGGAAAACATCGACAGTGACAGAGAAGACAAATAAAAGAGATGAGACAGTGAGTTACAAAATAGCAGACTCGACAAACCCAGCACAATGAAGGTGGAACATAATTTTCTATTTGTTGAGAAAACAATATAGGTGAATTTGTACTAAAATCTCCCTGTAGCAAAAATCAAAGTAGGCCGTTCACCAGAATCAATGTTAACTGCTTTGCAACGTCAGATAAGAGATTCTGCTTGGGAGAAAAACATGGGTGGAACAGAATACAGTCTGCTAAGGCAATACAGCATGAGTGACATCAAAATGTAAATACGGACTTAAAGTTATTTTGAATGTTACTGGACAAGCCTTTGAGAGGAGAGGCAGAATCTCATGTCCACTAACCTCTCACATCAGAGAGTATAAAAACGTAGGCTAAAAGTCAGAGACATGAGGTCCCCCAAGACCCAGAAAAGATGATTGGACAACGTGGGAGCCTGGGGCTTCATCAGGCAGAAGGCAGATTCTCCATCCCAGTCAAGCTTCTGAAAATCAAAGAGGGACCAAGGCTGAACCTGAGCCCAGACTCAGCCTGGCTACTTGGCCTTCTCTTTCAAAGAGCTGATGCTATGGGTCTTTCAAAGCCCACCACATGCCCGCTGGTTTTGGTCTATTGTAATTAACTCAACCTGTACCTAATTTGGCAGATTTTTTGAAAAAGAACTTTAATTAGGTGTTTCCAAAGATAATCAACTTCATTTTTCTGTTGTCAACAATCTCCCTCTTTCATTTCTATTTCTCTGGTTAATATACTAGTTAATTCAATTGCATACTATGATAACAAGTACAGATGCTTAAATAAGCTTGGGACTGCTGGTCAGCTCAGCTGGTGAAATTGCAAGGATATAGGTGGAGTAAAGAGTTCTGTGCAAGGCACACAATTTCAGTACAGCACGGAAAGCCGTTAACTTGTTCACAGGAGAAAGGGGACATACATCAGCTAATCCAGCTAGTGGATAACTGGTGCTTATTTAAGAGAACTTTTAAGGGAAATGACTTTTAATATCTATATATGGGTGACTATTGAAGTGAATTTGTTTATCCACTCAATAGAGTGCCAGTAAAAAAAGATGTGAGGTAGATTTTATTATATATTAGGGGTTGGTAAACTATGTCTTGAAGGAAAATGCAGCCTGCCACTTGTTTTCTAAAGTTTTATTGAAACACAGCTATGCCCATTCATTTACATCTATAGCTGATTTCCTAATACTACAGCAGAGTTCAGTATCTGGGACAAAGGATAAGGTTCACAAAGCTTAAATATTTACCATCTTACTTTTAGCACACAAAAATATGCTGATTCTTGGTCTATTTTGCATATAGGGAGAAAATAAAAGGTATAGTAGAATCCCATTTGTGTTAAACAATTAGGTCTATTTATTCATTCATTAAAATTGGAAAGGAAATAAGGTCAAGTCATAAGCAGTGATTATCAGAATAGTAGGAAGCAGAGGGGAAAAATTAAGAGACAGGAAGGAATTCTGCTTTTCACTTTATACATTTCTGTTTTTATTTAGGTTTATGTAGATCAAACATGCATAATTTTTACCATCAGAAAAATGTTAAAGATAGTTCTTTTAGGAAAATTAATAAATAAGTTTAATTAGCTAATTAAATACATTTATAATAAATAAGAGCTTAAGGTCACCCTAGGTGTAAGTGGCATTGCCAGTTTGGGAATGCAGTTCTGCTGACTCCAAAGACCATTCCAGAGCTCTGCATCTCATAGCTACCTGTTTCCAAGTGGCCTGTATACGGCAGGAGAGTGTGAGACATAGTGACAGTTTATCCAGTACTCTGAGTTTGCTGCTTTGCCACAGTTGTTGAGCTCTGGACCTGCCAGGCTAGCAAGCATGAGTCTTATTCCCCAACAAACTGTTCTTCCATAATTGCATCCCCAGCAACAATGCAGTAGCAGGAGAATTCTACCTGCCCACAGAAGGAGGCTGCAGGACTGAGCTACCTAACTCCAAGGCTCTGGCTACATTCATCCTCAGGGCTCAACTTGACAGCTCTGCACTGGGCCCCAAACCTCTTTCTATTTTGTGCACTCCTTTTTTTTTTTTTTTTTAGACGGAGTTTCACTGTTGTTACCCAGGCTGGAGTGCAATGGCGCGATCTCGGCTCACCGCAACCTCCGCCTCCTGGGTTCAGGCAATTCTCCTGCCTCAGCCTCCTGAGTCGCTGGGATTACAGGCACGCGCCACCATGCCCAGCTAATTTTTTGTAGTTTTAGTAGAGACGGGGGTTTCACCATGTTGACCAGGATGGTCTCGATCTCTTGACCTCGTGATCCACCCGCCTCGGCCTCCCACAGTGCTGGGATTACAGGCTTGAGCCACCGCGCCCGGCCGCACTCCTTTTTTTTTTTACCAAGGCATCTTCCCAAGAAAGGATATGCCCTCCAAAAATTTTTTGTCTATTAATTAATTAAAACAAAATTAAGCATAATAGATTACGCATTCTTTTGGCACATGTTTTAAAGGTATACAATAAACAATGAAAATAAATCTCCCTCCCATTTCAGTCTTAGACATCCAGCTCCCCTCCCTAAGACAACTATGGTTAATAGTTGCTTCTCCTTCCTTCCAGAAAGTCTTTGTATATGCAATCATAACCCAAACGTTGCATGCTATATACTTTATAACACTCTAAATACACTCTATATAACTTTTTAAAACAATATAATGTGTAGATTTCTTTTGTCTATCCATCAATCTTTCTAAGGGCTGCATAGAAGAAAGTGCAAATTTACAAAAATTTGAATGGTAAATAACTATAAAAGCAAATAATATGAATCTCAAGTCTGTTTAACTCTGTAAAAGTAAATTTAAAAATTTAAATGAAATGAAAATCTTCGGAAAATATAAACTGGTGCTTAGAAGAGAGATAAACAGAAATTAGCCTGTTGCCCTGCAAAATACAGAAACCATTGTTGAAGAATAAACACCGCGAATATAACACATGTTAGGCCTAGTAATTTTATGGATGAGTTCCACCCAAAATTTAAAGAACAGCTTGCAACATATATATATATATATATATATATATATATATAAATACATGTTTCAATATTAGTAATTATTACAGTGTAATTCATCATACTAACAGATCTGAGGTGAAAATCACATTGTAATTTCCATAAGGTGAAAGTGATTTAATAAAATCTAATACCTTGATCAAAAATCATAATAAAGTAGGTAATTTTCATAACATCATAAACAATTTGTATTTTAAAATAAGCATCAGATAGAATGAAAGAACTCCAGAACTCTTCCCATTCCAATAATGATCCCAGAAAGAAAGTTTAAGAAATTCAGCTTTGTTTATTATGTCTAGCTTATTCTATTCGACAATTTAAAAAGTGAGATGTCTTTAAAAATTGGAATGGAGGCAAACTTTTTATTATTTGCAGATAAATTAAAAACTTAAACGTAAGACCTAAAACCATTAAAATCCTAGAAGAAAACCTAGGCAATACCATTCCAGAAATAGGCATGGGCAAAGACTTCATGACTAA